ACTCGGCTAACGCGAGCGCCGCGCCTCCGGGTCCCGGGCGCAACTGCACTGCCTGCCCGCCTCAGCGCAACGAGGCCCTGGCGCGCGTGGAGGTAGCGGTGCTGTGCCTCATCCTCTTCCTGGCGCTGAGTGGCAACGTGTGCGTGCTCCTGGCGCTGCGCACCACTCGCCACAAGCACTCGCGCCTCTTCTTCTTCATGAAGCACCTGAGCATCGCCGACTTGGTGGTGGCCGTGTTCCAGGTGCTGCCACAGCTGCTGTGGGACATCACCTTCCGCTTCTACGGGCCCGACCTGCTGTGCCGCCTGGTCAAGTACCTGCAGGTGGTGGGCATGTTCGCCTCCACCTACCTGCTGCTGCTCATGTCCCTGGACCGCTGCCTGGCCATCTGCCAGCCGCTGCGCTCACTGCGCCGCCGCACAGACCGCCTGGCCGTGCTTGCCACGTGGCTGGGTTGCCTGGTGGCCAGCGCGCCCCAGGTGCACATCTTCTCCCTGCGAGAGGTGGCGGACGGCGTCTTTGACTGCTGGGCTGTTTTCATCCAGCCCTGGGGGCCCAAGGCCTACATCACGTGGATCACACTGTCCATCTACATTGTGCCGGTCATTGTGCTGGCGGCCTGCTACAGCCTCATCAGCTTCAAGATCTGGCAGAACCTGCGACTGAAGACCGCAGCCGCGGCTGCAGCCCAGGGTCCCGAGTACTCCGACGCCGGCGGCTCAGGGCGAGCGGCGCTGGCGCGAGTCAGCAGCGTCAAGCTCATCTCTAAGGCCAAGATCCGCACCGTCAAGATGACCTTCATCATCGTGCTGGCCTTCATCGTGTGCTGGACGCCCTTCTTCTTTGTGCAGATGTGGAGTGTGTGGGACGCCAATGCGCCCAAGGAAGGTAGGTGGGGTGGGGCCCACAAGGAAAGAGCCAGGGGTCTGGGCTCCACCAGGGCTAAGCCGGCTCGAAGGTTGGCAGCATCGTTACTGGGCCTGTTGGCTTTGCTCAAGGAGCCTCCCTGAGCCTCCACTTTGTCTTCTCTAAAATGGCAGCAAGGCTTAGAGTTCCAGCCTCACTGGGCTGCGGGGGATGAAGGGAAGAACCCAAGTCAGTTGCTTGCCCTAGGCCATGCTGCTTAGGGAGCTCCTGGCTGTGGCTGTGGAGGAGGACACGGAGGCTCAGCTAGCCAGCCCAGGGAGTGGGCTTGCGGCCTGGGGCAGCTCCTACCTCGCCTGCCCTTTCAACTGGACATCTACTTTATGTGTAAGTTGCCCTGAACTGATGAGGTCAGGTCCAGTTGGACAGACTCAGGAGGCTGGCTGTTATCCAACCAAAGCTTGAGAAGGTGTCCACTGGGAGCCCCACTGCTTCCTGAACTCCCCTTTAGTGGAGATGGTGAGCTGCCTGTAGAGGTAGACAGGCGAATACCACTGTGGGCACTGGGCAGGCACAGGGCCGTGGTACCCAGAACAATGGAGATTTCGCTTGGAAGGAAGGGAAAGGAGAGAGGGCTTCATGGTTTCTGTATGGGGGCCTGGCAGGCCTTCGCTGGGGAGGCCTGGGGCTTGGGCTTTCCTCCTGCCCTTGCTAGCTGGGTATACTATGGGAGGGGTCCCTTTATTTCCCTGGATTCTCTGTGTCTCACTTAGAGGACGAGAGCATTTCAGGGTGCAGAGACCATCTTTCAGAAGATGTTCCAGCTTCTCTCTGAGCCTGCATTTGCTGGAAGGGCTTGAGGGGGATAGAGGCTGGCAGAGCCAGGAGCCCAGGGCTCAAGAGCCTGTGATTGGTGCTGGGCAGCTGCCCTCAAAGCACAACACCTCCAAAACCCCATACATTCCTGCTGATTCCAGTAGCTCATCTGGACAAAGATGACCAAGACTGTTAGAAGGAAATCCGTTACACATCCTGGACTGCAGGAAACTGACTCCTCAGGCTTGCCCGGAAGACCAACAGGCCAGCTCCTCAGACTCTGCCTCCAAATGTGCAGAAGTCCCGTGCCTGACTTTAATCTCTGCTTCTCCCCACGGCCTCACAGCATCTGTCCTGGGAAGCTGAAACCTTGGTCTGATAACTTTGCTTTGGTCCCTTCCAGAATCCACAGGTTTCTGGCTTTACTAAGCCCCCCTGGTTAGCACCATAGTGGCCAGGCCACTTGTCATCAGTGCACACAAGTGCTGTGGTGTTTAGGTTGAGGAAGCTGTGGGAACTCATCAAAGCTCAGCCTGACTCAGCATACAGCCCCTGGCAGCATGCTGGAGCCCAGAAATGGAAGGCACTTGTATTGGGTCATACAGCATTCAGAGAGAGCACAGTGGCTAGAGTGGGGGTTCCTACATCCAGCTTCTTATGAGGGGTGCATGATGAGGGAGGTAGAGAGAGAACAGGTGGCGAATGTACATCTGCAGGGCCTCAGGCCACACCCACTTCCTTGGCAGAATCCAAGGAGACCGGACCCCACTAGCTTCCCTCCCTCGTGTCCTTCCTCTCTTCCTTCTTTCCTGCCTTCCAGCCCTCCCACCCTTCCACCCTCCCACCCCATCTCTTTCTTTCACAGGTCTTACTGAGCTGCTTAGTTGCCCAGGATGGGCTTGAACTTTTGATCTTCCTGTCTCAGCCTCCCAGTGTCCTACAGGTGTAAAACTTAAAGTCTCACTTCTACTCCACGGAGCATGAACAGCCAAAAGGCCTCCACAATGCTGAGCTCTAAAGCTCGGCGAGGCTCCAGGAGCTTATTAGACAGCAAGAGTCACCCAGGAAGGAACACACCAGGCTAGTTGGCAAATAGAACTTTATTAGTCTGGCCAGACGGCACTCCCGGAGCCAAGTAGCTCAGAGAGGCAACTAGCTCAGAAACAGAGGCCATTTTATAAAGGGCTAAGCAGGGAGTTAACACTCAAAACTTACAGGAAGGGGACAAAGGCAAATGGTCAGTTGATCCGAGCTGGTGGTCATCAATCATGTACTCGACCGTTACGGACTAATGGTTAGCAGGTTGATTACCCATTGTTTTTATAGATTGTTGTGTTCAGAACATTCAGTTACAGGCAGACAAGGAGTGGAATGATTTACTTTGGGTCTCTATGCTTGTTACAATTTTTTCTCTAGTTTCCCAGCTACTCCAAGCAGTTACCTAGTAATTCACAATTAATCATTACTTATCCTATAAGGGGGAAACAACAGTCTCTGGGTCATTTGCTGGTCAACATGGAGTCGCTCTAGTTCGGTAAGGCTCTTACACAGGCACTGTAGGATTACAGGTATGCACCACGGTGTCTGGCTCAGACCCGAGTCTTAAGCCGCTCCAACACCAACTGCAGAGGAATTGAGACCACACCCAATACAGCCCACACTGGAACCCCAGGGTTTGGCCTTTCCTCCTGCCCTTACTAGCTAGGAGATACTTTTATTCCCCTTGACTTTAGGGCTTTGGCTTTAGGACAAGTATATATATTGCAGCATTCATTTCATTCAGCCGATATTCCAACTCTGCTCTTTCTTGGGTTCCCCCCATTTTTTGCAGTACTGAGGATTGAATTCAGGGCCTTCACACTGAGCTACATCCCCCTTTCTCTTCACCTCCTCCCGTTTTTTGAGACCAGGTCCCTACATCACCAAGTTGCTCAGGCTGGGCTTGAACTCTCAATCTTCCTGCTTCAGCCTCATAGGTGTGCAGGTGACTACAGGCCTGCACCCCCACCAGCCACTCTTCCCAGTTGTTTCACGGTCCTCCCTCCTTTACTTTGTACCCCTCCCGTTGTTCACACCATCCTCCCACGCACGCTCCTCTCTCATGTTCTCCTCTCTCAAGAAGAGAGTATTTGTAGTCTCCTCCAGCCAGCAGCTGGACAGTGTCCAGCCCTACTTTGGTGAGGCCGGTAGACAGCACCCGGGTGGTACACACAAGCCCTAGATGCCTCTCTGGCCATCAGAGAAGCCAGGCCTCGTGTGGCTAGGTGGGGTGTCTAGAGAGGAAAGGACAGGCTGGCATGTGGCTGGGGTCTGCCGCCTGGGCACACTGGTGGATGGTGGCGTAGCCCCGCCTTCTCAGAAGCCCTGGAACTGGAGGAAAAGCTTTGGAATAAAAGAAAAGGGGGGGGGGATGTCACTCACAATTTGCAGATACCATAACTTCACCTTTCAGCAGGAATAGTGCTCTTCCTTTTAGACCTGCTGACTTCCTGGGAATGATAAAATGCCCCAAGAGGGCTGGGGACCTCCACTGCACAGAAACTGAGGACCAAGGACCCAGCTGGCTACCAGGATGTGATGGAGCCGCAGGCCTCCTGTGCAGGGAAGAGCAGGACGCCGCGCCATACCTGGCCGGTGCTGGTGTTTGCTTTGCTGCTTTGCCCTGTGTGTCCCTGAGTATTTGCCTCACCCCACCCCAGCCTCAGCTTCTGCTGTGAATCACAGGGGCGCAAAGCCCACCTTGTGGGGCTGCTGTGAGGATGAAGGGGTGTCACCCGTGGCTCCCAGGGGCTGCATGCTCAGTGTCACTCCACCCATCCTACACTTCACAAGTTTTGCTAGCATTCATGGAACGGACTTGGAGAATCTCAGCGGTTTACTTGGACATGGATTTTTTTTCTCTGAGCCTGGATAGGGGTATAGGGGTGGAGATGGAGCCTCCTGGGCAGTAGGTGGTGTATCCAGGGCAGTCCTGGGGAGAAGCTGGTGGACAGTGTGTGCCTGGTGACTGGTATGGGGCTGGGCGTCTGCTAAGGGAGCGACCCATGCCTGTTTGGCACATCAGTGGGATGTGGGAGGAGGGGGCGGGAGCTAGGAGAGCTGTGGGGGTGAGAGCTTGACTAGGGACTTCACAATGGCTCTGACAATAGACCCAGTAGCCTGTGCCAGAAAGAGCACTCCATCCTGGGGGTGACCACACACGGCAGGTGCACTGGCCTAGGAAGGAGCTGGAGGGCACAGGAGTCCTGATTTTCAGGGCTTCCAATCTGCAGAATGAGCTTCCCAGCTCCGCCCTGTTCCTGGGGACCTGCAGTCTCTCCAGTGTGGCCCATCCTACCTTCCTTCCCGTAGATGCTGTGGCCATGCTGTGGAGTGGCAAGGGCATCTGGCAGGGTTTGGGCATCGGGAGTCCCTGCTGTGTGGAGTCAACAGTAGAGATGGATCACTGGATGGGCCTCAGCCTGGGGAAGGTTCTGCAGTGGAGAACTTGCCCTCCTGGGTGTAAATTGCAATTGGATGACCACTGATGGCAGCCTGGGCAAGCTGTCCTGAGTCCTCTCCTGTGCTTGGCTAATGTTAACCTTTTTCCTTGGGCTTTCTGCCCTGAGGCAACTTCAACCCCCGCCTCCCCCCAAAGGTTTAATAACAGAAGAAAAGAATTGGTCCCGTGAGGCTTTGCGGCCTGTTTTCCCATTTGGTGAATGGCTCAGTAGGTTGGGGGATGGAGGGCACCTTTCAGGTTAGGTTATGAAGTGGCTGGAGAAGACACTCAGCTGTGGCCTGAGCCATGGCTTGCTCCCTGGAGAGGCTGAATTGGGCTGGGGGTGAGGGGTGGGCCCTCCTGATGACCCCACCACCTTGCTGTGGCACCTGGCTGGAGCCAAGGAGACCCCACAAGTTCATTTCTAAGGGCTGGGGCTGAGTGGGCTGACCTGCACTCTACCAGACCCGAACACACATGAGGCCCAGGCTGCAAGAGCCCTCTGCCCCTGGGAGAGAGCACAGGGAGGGGGAAGTCTGCAGAGATGTGACCTGCTCCCCATCTGCAGGATTTGGGGCTTGTCACTCTTGTCTGAGCACTGGGTTAACACATTGCAACAGGATGAGACCTCCTGTCTGGAGTCAGAGTTGGGTGGGGGATGGTTAGATTCACTAATAACAACAGCCATCATTGCTGATGGCACCTGTGAGCAGGCCTGTGCGTGCCA